CCCCAAAACCCCAAAACCCCAAAACCCCATTAAGTAGATAAAAGTGGATTTTTAAGAATTTAAAATGCATTAATAAGATTACGGTAAGTCTTTAGAGAAGGTATTTCATTATTAATCTTTTATTTGCCCTTAAAATCAATTAAAAATAGCAAATTATATCGCAAATTAGATACAATCAATGAACTAGGAATAAAGTGTTTAATAAGCTCAAAGCCACTTGTAGCCTCCAGTTTCAACAATTATGCTCAACTCTTCACTTTAAAATACATAGGTTAACACGTAGAATACGCAGAGTAGTTTGCTAGATCGCTGACAACTGATTGACTAATACAAAAGCGTAAAATGTCATCTCTCATGTGATCTATATTTTAGCTTCATTATTAGGATTCTTCAAGTAATATTATATATCTCATTGTAATTAATATTTAGTTGATCTTCAGCATATATTTGATGGCCTTAATCCACATTGATAATACATTTGAAAATGATTGTACCTAAATTATAAATCTTTGGCTAATTTTATTCAGCTGCTCTGATCTCATGAATATTCTCTTTCTCATTATAATTTTGGCTATTTAATGGAAAAAACCATATAGATTGGGAAAATAAAAGTATATTATAGGCTATTTTTTCATTGGAATAAATATATGCTTAATTGGTTTTGGAATTTATGCGGTTCATTTAGTCAATTAAGTCATATCAAAATAAAAAGGTATTTTTTCATTGGAAAATCAGACCAAAGAAGCTTAAAGTAAGCGAGATTAAGAAGAAGAGTAAGTATTACTACCCTTTAAGAATTCTTTTATTATAGAGCTATGGATGATTATAAAAATTTACTTGTTATCTATGAAATATTTAGAGGTCTTATTGTCTTAGTTATGTGTAAATTATAATACGATATGGCCTAGTCTATTTTACCAGGTCTATTTAGTCTAAATCTGATTCCAGCAAAATTTTATACTTTAAGTATAGAAGAAGTAAAATTTTATGCCTTTTAGTTAATTTCTAAAATATAGGAAATAAAACAAGTAATGAGGGAATACTTAGTCGATACCATTATTGATGAGAAATTTTAGGAAGAGTTTAATCAAGGCTAGCTTGATTGTGTAGTATGCCTAGAAAAAATCATCATTGAAAAGGGTTAATAATCTGGAGCAAAGAGAATTTTAAAAAATATGTCATAGGAAATTGTAAGAATGAGCTGCACTTAAAAGTAACCTAAGTATTATCATTACGGATGTCTCTATAACTGGCTCTTGCAAAAAGCTAATTGCCCACTGTGTAGAGAATATGTTAACTAAGAAAATCATATTTACAAAGCACTATAAGAAGGACAGGTTAATCATTACTAGAAAGAATAAGAAGTTAACTAAATTGAACTCTCAGTATAATTAGAGAGGAGAAATCGTTAGATTTTATTAGGCCATCAAAGGGTTATAAGTAGTAATATACCTTTGACTGATGTCAATAATGATCTAACAACTATTTAAAATCATGCCTTAGAGCAAGCAGATTTTGAAAAACCTAATAATACTAATGCTTGAGATGCATACTCTTATTTGTTAATTTATATACTTATCTAGCTATTAATTAAAAATTCGTTTTCTTTAATATTAAATAATAATCTATGGGGTTTTGGGGTTTTGGGG